TCATTCATTTCAATGGGAAAAATGCTAACGCTAACTATGACAACCTTAACCCCTACCCTGCCCTAACCATAACCATAAGTAACCTAACAAAATACAAGAGTTTTTGCATTTTTAGTTTTTTCATAGCAGTCACCGATTTTTATAGAATAGAGCAAACCGGTCCCCATAAGGGAAATAAAAACAGATATTTATCACGTTATGGGGACATTATGTCCCCATAAGGATAGGTAAACCCACTCACACACACACACACACACACACACACACACACACACACACACGCACACACACACAAACAAGCCTCCCCTCAGACCTGACCATCCTCCAAAGCGACAGCATGCTTATTTCAGGCCTTATCGCATTTCCTTGTGGCTCCTCTCACTCAGATCTCTGCCGTTTTTCCATTGGAAGCATAAAAGCTGACTCAAGGTTTTTTCCTCATCTCACAGATTTATGTCACTTTTTAATTAACTTGTTTTTCAGCTTCTGAGTAATGTCCTACTCATAAATTAACCCCTGAGCTGGGATCCCTAACCTTAATAATGTCTATACCTCCAGCCTAACAATTTTAGTACATCTTTAGAGAGCCGGTGCATTACACAGCGGAATAGCGTATCTCATACTGTGTGATACATAACAAAAATCAGCGCTAGTGTTTACTGTTTCCTTTCAGGCATGTCTAGTCAAAGTGATTCCTATCCGCTTGCCTTTAAGCTGCATTTATGCTGCCTGCCTTCATGTCCAGTCACCCCACATGCAGCACGTCCTCCCCATACACTGAACACGCCTGCTGGTGTAAAGTGAGACCACACACCTTGCTCTTGGATAATGTTATCAAGCAGCTGGGGCTCCCGCACGTCGGTGGCTGGGTCCCAGATAGACAGACGTATGATTTCACCACCGGGACCCATAACCAGGGTGCCGGGGGCTCCGCTTTTCACCCACTCTGCAAGCGAAAGCCCTCAGCTGAGCAAGTAAAACTTGAAGGAAGACTAAAAAAAAAAAAAAAAAGCAGCATTTCTGGCAACAAGGTATTTTGCTACTGTGTCTGTATAACACATTTAAATCTCTGCACGTTTTCCCCTAGTTTCTTCTTTTTGAAAATAACTGAACTGTCAGAATTTAGCCAGGAGGAGGATAAGAAGAAATGAAGAGCAGAGTGCGGAGTAGTAATAAATACCTTTCAGGGCTACAGGAAGACTGCCCCGCACCACTTCATTCTCGGGGTCGTGGGGGTCAAGGAGGTCATGACCCTCATTAGGGCTGTGTTTGTGGAAGGCCATGGAACTCTGTTTCCCAGGACCCCTGCGGCCTGCCAGGGGGGGCAGGACACCCAGGGGGCGGCCTTCATCTGCATTGACAGGAAGAGTCACATACCTGGACACGGCATGTAAACGGAGCAACGTCTGACCAATAAGATGTCAGAATTCAGCAACCTATTAGAAATTAGTCCTTATTCACTCAGACTTTCTGTTTAACTTATAGGTAAGCATGATTTTTTTTGTTTATGTCATTGCTAAACACTAATACTGTAAAACAATTCACATACTGATTCCTGGGAGTTCCTGTCACCAAAGTGCATTACTTTATTTTGCATACTGTATATCCTTGAGATCCAGGCAGGTTTTGAAATCCTGATTAAAATTTTGAAAGTTGGCATGGTCACACCCCCACACGTGTGATGTCATCTTAACTGTCCTTTTTAAGAAATTACAAGACATAATAGAATAGCATGTACAGTATGACAGACATCAGTGAAGACACAATGTCCTCTGCAGAAGACTAAAATGAATCGCTGCTTAGCTGGAGGATATTGCATAGTGAGGCCTGACTGCCTCCTGCTTTGTTTACAATAGCGGCTTCACCCTAAAGCCCAAACATATATGACGTCCTGTTTGCCTCCAGCCTGGCATCTTGTGGGGTCTGGCCATACTGTGCTTGACTTATTTACTTTGAGGTGTGAGAGTATCCTGTCCCTGTACTATGGGATGTGACACAGCTTTTCTGTCTCTGAGCACTGTATGTTTTGGCTATGACGACATGCTGCCTGTGTAATATGAGATCTAATTCCATTCCATCTTGTGAGCTTTGGGGCGCGACCACATCATTCGCTGCACACTTTGGTTACGACAAAATCAGTTTTCCCAGTAAATCAAGGGCATGAGCGAATCCATGCAGCACAGTACTATGCTTACCTTCTCCTGGGTCCCGCGCAGTCAAGCCGTCTGGGTTGAGCCTGTTGCAGTGAAGGATAGGAGCGATTTTTGCAGCATTTGGACCTACTCCGCTGGTGTTACAGACGTTGCATTCGTCCCGTCCGGATTGCTTAGAGGGCTCATCCCTCTGCTTATCTGCAACATTGTCGTCACAGAGACCACCTGAAATAATACAGACACAAAGCAGTGAAATATCATGGGGATTCAGCACATGGTGCAAAATACGAATCCAATGACAAACACACAATCATATATACCCATATGTCCACAAGATAGAGCCAACAAACCATACACACTCAGGGTATACCGCGGAATTGCAGATTGTTCTGCCGCTCTCTGTGCACAGGGATGAGCACGGGCAGAAGCAGCTTCCTGTGAGCTTGTCTTTCCAAGTGGGCGTGAGCAGGAGCTGCAGTGCTGATGTCACACGTCCGTGGCTCCCGTCCTGCTACAGGCTCAGACTTCAGGTGACAGCAAACAACACAAGCTGTTGGCTTTGACTGGCTGCTTGAATTCACACAAGAAACCATCTTCCTTATTCTGAAGGTGCTTTAATTACTTTGAAGTAGAGATTCACAGTTCGAGTTCTTGAAGGCTGCCATTTCTGTGGCTGATGTTTATTTCCCAAATGGTTAATTAACTCATCAACAGCAAGACATTAGCACTCAAAGAGCAGGTGGCTACAGTCCTGCATTATAAAAGAGCTACACTTAAATCTCATCACATGGCAGGTATGAGCCCTGCTTGAATACAAGGAATATTTTCAGGTGGCTGAATGACTCACCACGTCTGTGTTCCTAAATTGGTCTAATGCGACCAAGGGTCCCACAGGCACAGGTGGTAAGCGTATGTTAGAAAAGGCAGGGTCTGGGACGGCATCGTCCTGTCTGTCAGGGGAGTCGGCCTTCCTCAGCCTCACTGACCCACGTACAGGTTTGTTAATACGCCCGTAGATACAGACAATGAGAGAGGAGCGCAGTCGGCCACAAGCAGAACACACATGCTGTACTTTTTCAATGGTACAAAGAGAGATGAACATTTGAACTGAAGCACAGCACAGCCTCAGCAGTAAGGATACGTCCCTACAGACGGTCAGGCTGTGAGCTGTCCGCTGGCAGCATAATATGATGCACTTACAGTTGCCCCGGGCCCTTGCACCGCCCATGTGACCTCCATAGTAGGTGATGTGTGAGACGGGGCTGCACTCCCAGGAGCAGTCCACACTGGCGGTCCTCAGAGGACATGCTGCCTCCCTGACAGCTGGGGGCGCCGCTGTGCTGCATATCCCACCAGCTCCTACGAGCCCAGGGCAGCCGAGCACGCGACGTGCCATCTGGGGATTGTTAGACAGGCCTGCTTAGAGGAAGGTGTTCTTCATCCCGGGATGCCTTCGATTCTTATCTACTCTTTTAACGGATTTGCAGTGAACAAAAATGCTCCCGCAATCTTCTCTTCACATCATTGCTTATTTAAATACGTGAACATCACAAACAAAGCTAGCAGAACAGGAATCCTCCCTCTCTGCTGACATCTTTCTGTGTGAATACATGCTGCCATGTTTACCTAATCTACACCCCCAGCGGTTTTTATTCTTTTTTTGCACATTAACCGAAAATAGCACAGGTAGAACATGAGACCCCCCCGTATGTTTTACGAGCTGCTTACCCACTAAAGGGCTGCAGTGAACCTGGAGTCTCTCCAGAGCAGTAAGCAGGGAGGGAGCACCTTAGACAGGATGTCAGGCCATCACATAATTACACACTGTGGACAATTCAGGCATCCCAGTTTGTCTGACTGTATGTTTTTGCACTGTGGGTGGAACCCGGAGCACCCAGAGGAAACCGTCACAAACTCGGGGAGAGGATGCAGACTCCAGACACGTAATTCACAACTCACAGGTTTTTATAATCCATAGGTCCAGTCAAAAGCCAGTAAAATACAAAAAATATCCTAGATTCCTGCAAGTGTTGCAATCCATTCCTCAAGTCTGTCTAACCACATAAAGCAGAACTGAGATCTGTGACTATAAATCTGACAGCTGTTACGACAACTGGCGTCACAAAGCCGGATTTGCCATTAATTACAATGCATTTCTTTTCATGAAGCCTTGGAGATAATAGCAAAGCATGTTCTCAGACATAATCCCAGAACACTGGGAATATTTATCCAAAGTGAGAGAAAGAAGGCACATTGTCACGTTGCACGATAAAGCATGCCAGTGTCACACGTACTTGATTATCACCCACTATACTGATCTCATGAAGCCTCATTAGTATCCAAAATGATCTACGTTGTATCCTACATTACATGTATACATGCACTCCTGGGCAAAAAATGAGCCAATCTCAAATTGCACAACATTAAGCTTTGGCCCTTTCTTGCCCAGGAGTGTAGATTTCCTTTGGGTTCTCTGGAATCTGCACCTGCATCAGCCGGAATTTCAATATGTGTATTATTGTCAATGTCACATGTTAAATCTGTCGCCCATATCATTTTCAGAGCCTTTGCAAGCTTAATTCCTGTTTGGTTAAAGGCTTTATGAAATACAGCTGCCTTGTGGGATGTTTTGAGTAATTCTGAATAATTTACAGCACAATTTCCTTGGGGGGAATTTGAAAATAATGAATAATGCAGAACTTCAATTGTAAATTGTTTCAAAGCGGCTTCCTGCCTTGCAGATCATGTTCCTGTATGAAGTCAGTGTAAAATGCCCTTCATTATACTCGTCACTTGGAGTATCTCTGTGTTCCTTTCAGTGACCAGTTGTTCCCCACTGAGAATGTTTCTTTAAGCCTGATTGAAATAAAAGTTTTACGCCAGAATGATGCATAAGGCTGTTTGTAGTGAGATCCCACGTGGGAATGAACCCTTCCCAGACCTCTTTTCAGCCTAACTTATTGGTTTTGGGGGAGCAGTTTGTCATTTTCCCAAAGAAATTGCTTAATAAGATATCGCTAGGATGTTTAGCTATTATTCTCACACCAAAGGTTCAGCAACAGACCTACTGCAGTTGATAGTTATTGTAGCAGGTATAACCTGTGAGGCATTTGGCTGCTTAATTTGCATCTTTCACTTTCATAAATTTAGGTGGGAAGTGCAGTCGGTATAAATTCAAATTAATCTTCATATAAACATATAGTGTAAATGTCGGTTGTCAGTTTGATGACCTGGAAGTAAAATTCAGCTTAAAGGCAGGGAATTGATGAATAAACAAGGATAACACAGATTCCATCATGTTTGTAAGCCTTAAAATCAACACTTAACATGAGTCCTTTTATTAAATAAACATATACACATGCTGTACACATATACAGATATATAATCATATACAACTTTTGTGAACATATCCTCATACAGTCTAAACACAGCGTACCTGTGCCTCTTTTCCATCCACGGTGCTGCCAGGGTTCTCTGGGATTGGACTCATGCATGACCCAGGAGTCCCCATTATGACCCTAAAGCTAAATGTCTTCAGATTCTCACCCTTTCTTTGATTTTCCAGGCTGGATGATTGAAATGTTTCTTTTTCTGTAAACATTGAAATAAAATGGACCATTTTCATTTTAAAATGAAACTCATTTCATGACAATGTTACATTAAAGACAACATAACTAAAACTCTCGTGAGAGAAACATATAATTTTGTTTCCACTGAGTTTTCAACCTGTAAGACTTTTTAATGAGACTGTCCTATAAATCAAAATTACTGGGAATATTGTGATTTTACATGTGACGTATTATACAGTAGAGGATGTTTATATGTGTTTCTTATCTAGCTGACCTTTGACCTTAATATGTATAACACCCTTTGGATATTACCAGCTCAGTTTGTTTCTTTGCTGTTGGCACCATACCTGTGGAGGATAGGAGGGATTTTTTATCCCCAAGGCATGTGGCCCCTCCCTCCAATACTGGGGCCAGGTGACCTGATGCAGGGCAGGCACTGGGGGTGGAAAAGGTTTCTGCCTCCTTGTGGGGATGTGCTGGGGCACATTTACTGGTGGGACCTACATTGAGAAGTACAGGAACGTTTATCAGACTATACCAGACCATCAACAATAAGCAGACCAGCATCCATTCATCCATCATCCAGCCCGCACCCACCAGACTCTGTCCCGCTCACACCCACCAGACTCTGTCCCGCTCACACCCGCCAGACTCTGTCCCGCTCACACCCACAAAAGCTTGGCATATTTTA